TGGATTGATTTACTCTACAAGGGAATAGAAACGGAAGTTTAGCATTTTATGTGCTTGGTGGGTTACCCCATTTGCTTTAAAATATGTATTCTTAAACGCTCTTTTCGCACTTGACTTCTAGAAACCCTTGAGCCACAAAACATATTAGGAAATCATATTAAAATGGATCCTAGAATGGGCACGTAAAATAAAGCTGTATAACAAATCCGATAGGTAAAATTTTGGATATTGATATAAGTACAGGAATTGTAACTTTGATCTGGAGTGAGGCCAATAAAAGCGAAAATCGGTCTGATAAACTATTGCACTAATGGCGGGACTCGTTGTTTGACCGTCTCGCGCGCGTCTTACGTATCTCATCTTTACTTTTATCAGTTGATTGCCGCAAAAGTTGATAAACAATAATATGATATGAATACGAAAGCGATCCTCGCAGTAATATTACCAAAACTACCGAGAGCCAGTAAAGAATGTTCAACTAACCTGCAAGCTGCAAGTACCCGAAGAAAATACTTATTTTTGGTACCGAGGGATTCCAAACAAATAATCAGCAAGTCTAATATTAGATCAAAATACGTTGGAAACGATTTTTTAATCAGTTTTTATCTGTTAACTTTATCTCACTTCTTTATTGCAGTAATCGTCATAAGAGCTACGAATGTAAAAAGCATGACATGTGACTACGAAGAAAAAAACAGATGCAACCAGAATTGTGTTCAAAAAGACAAAGGCACCTGCTTCCAGAGCTGCCAAGTTTTGCAATTTGACATGCAGTGGACAGACATGTCAACAGAATTGCAATTCTGGCGCTTGTAATCTAATTTGCAGTGGGCGAAGTTGTACACAGTTTTGCAATGCTCAGAGTTCATGCCGTCTTACGTGCATTGGAACAAGCTGCAGGCAAATATGCAACGCAAAAGAGTGCCAAATTAAATGTTTGTATTCTATATCAGCCTACTACACAGGCGGCGAAAACCGATGCCTCTTCAACTGATGGATCTACCAAAAAAGCTGTAGCAACTGATGTCACTACTCCTCAAGGAGAATTTATCCAAGGCTCTACAACTTCTCATATTCTAGTTAAGACCACAGAGAGTAAGTAACGTAGCTCACCTATTTCTGCATGCCTATTGATATTCTATGGCTGCTGTCTAAGGGTAGCCTCTAAATGAATTCAAACTATTTGCTTCTGCTGGCATTTTATAAACAGGTTTTGATAAGTCATCAGATTCATCCACGGCAGTTACACCAGAGGCACTAAAGATCAGCTCTAAGACAGAAAAATTGGTACACACTTCATTATTAAATTATTTATTAATTGTTTATGTCTTTTAATTTTTTTCCTTTTTTATGCCTTTTTTAATTTCATTTTTGTCGTTTTTGATATTTTTGGTTTAAACCTATACATAAATCTTATTTGAAAGCTGTAGGATTAAAAATGTTTCATCTATATAAAACTCTATTTTCCCTTTGGGTCTAAAAGACTTAGCCCTGTAGATAAATATCTAAATTCGACGGCGCGTGTAATAAATAAACTAATAGTAATATGAATTAACCTTTTACGAGCTGTATCAAGAGAGCATTTCCACAAAAGGAAACAAACTGTTATTAAATTAAGATCATGGGCTTAGCTTTAGTATGTATTGTGAGAGTATAATTTCAGTTATTTCTGCAAAAGGAAACAAAGGTGTTATTAGATTAAGATCACGTGCTTAACATCAGTTTTCTTGATGGTAGGCTAAGGATTTTGTTTCTACCTTAAACAAAGTAGATGTCCAGCAAAATAGCAGCTTGAAGGTTAGTTGAACATTCTTTACTGACTCTCTCAGTAGTTTTGGAAGACAAATAAAAATAAAAGAGTGACCGTTTCAACACCTACTCATCTATCTGTGAATCCGCCACTGATGCTTTCCTTAATTTATTCATTCCCTTGCTTCCATTCTCACTGTTAGGAGGCAGTCAATTTGTTCCAAGACACTATCGAAGAGTATAGGAAAATTCACAACCTTGAAACGCAAGTGAATTTAAAAAAAAGGGAGGAGCGTGTGAAATCGATAGCTGAAACTGCAAAGGCTTTTGAGGATTTCGTTCTCAAGTATACGCAACATCATCTCAGTGAATCAATGCCACAAATCTACAGGGTTTACGAAACACTAGGTATGTTAACCTTAGATGTATCTTTGTTTGTCTAATCTAGGTAACATTTCATGAACACAATCTAATTTTTTTATTATTTTGTGAATAGTTCTGCTTCTCCAGAGAGCTTCACACAGAAATAATCAAGATTTCTACCTCGTGGAACCACAAAAAGTCGAATATATTAGAATACCTTCAAGAATCGTTGGAAGAAACGGTTGGTCTCAATTTTGTTTCCCAGTCTTTAATTCCATGGCATTTGTATGGCAACTGCTTTGTTTCCAAAACCATTACGTCGGACAAGCCACAGTTGCTGCACTAATGTTTCATCTCCACCTTTTCCTTTATTTGTAAAACCGTCAACGTTTACATCAATAACAAGGCACGCTTACCGAAAAAAAAGGATCTTTTTTTTTTTTTTCGATCGTACTTTCATTAGAAACATAAAACAGATAGTTATGGATTTTCGGTCACTTTTGTCTACTTAATAATCGTTAACTTTTGTTTCACTGGAATTAGTAAGTTTAAAAAATAAAGATAAATACTAAACCGAGTTTTTCCTTTTTCTTCTAACTAAGGTTCATTGCTGGTGGGTTTCATATACACAGATCTACATGCGCTCTTCAAACCAACTCGAATCGACAACAATACAAGGTACGATAATTGAACCATTTGATGCAAATATGAACTCCAAATGAGTCATTTCAAGGTAAATTTACCCTCACAACTACTTCGCACTTAGGAGCCTTAACTCAAAACTAATAGCAGCGACGATGGATCCAATGCCGAAACAATTGGAACAGAATGTTATCATGAGATTCAGAAATATCAAGGTTTTTTTTTAAACTGTATTTTATTGTTATTTTTCAATCAATAATGGTATTATATACGCATATAAAACATTCTCTTTTCACTTCCATATGCTATCTTTTTCAGGCTACTGATACTAAAAGGCAGTGTGTGTTTTGGAATGAATTTAATGAAGAGAGGTAACAGTCCAAATGAAGTTTTAACTCTTTCCTTTATAAACTTAAAATTTATAAAACCAGCTGAAATTAAATTTTTAACCCTAACTCTCATTGGCTGACCATCCTAGAGCAGAACAGAACAGGTTCGTTCTATCGAATATTTAGCTCTTCTTCTGTTAATCAGCATTGATCATTCACCATACCTTTTTCAGTCCAGACGGCTGGTCTGGGGAAGGCTGCCATGTGGTAACGTCACAGAGCAATTCAGAAGAAACAGAGTGTAGTTGTAATCATTTGACTCACTTCGCGGTTTTATTCGAGTACGATGGTACTCAAACGGTAATGATAATGTGAAAACCTATTAACTTGTTTTTTGTTTGTTTGTTTGTTTGTTTGTTGCTATGTTTTCGATCTCATAATTTCATAATTTAATTAACGAAACACTCGGCTACATCTGTAACAAAGGCAAAGAACACCAGTAATGACGCATACTTTCAAAATGTTTGGACATCTTTTCAAGTCATAACACTAAGAGAATGATGTTTATCTGATAACTACTTTGAAACAAGCTCTGCTTTGCAAAATTAAGAACTAAACGAACTTAATCTTTCAGTGATCGAGTTCAAAGAGAGAGCGTCTCTCGTGTCTACTACGTTCATGCAACTTTTAAATAGTACTTTTTTCTTTTCTTTCATTATAATTTTTTATTTGTTATTGCTGTTTTTTTGGTTTGTTTTTTCGTATTCTATTCACATGCAAAGCAGATAACAGGAACACATCAAAAAACATTGAACATCCTTACGTACATGGGCTTAGCTCTCTCCCTCATTGGAATAACAATTACTGTGTTCTCCTACATTTTCCTAAGGTAAGTCAAAATACTGACAAGTGTAACACCACTTAAATTAAGGGCTGTTTTTCAATGTTTCCTAATAATTATTTAGGTGATAACTTATTCCGTCGTTGAGCGCCTTTTCTTGTTACAGTGATATGCACCAACCTCTCTCTCAAATAAGAGTGAGTCTGACTGGATCTCTTGGAGCTGGGCAAGTCATTTTTCTTGCTGGAATTAACAAATCAACAATCACGGTTTGTGCTCTTTTATACTTAACTAACCAAGCATTTACTTACCCATTATAATTTTTTGGTAAAAAAAAATGATCTTTTGCTTTACGATGCTAAATATGAGAACATTGATGAAAAGAATTCGTAAGATCTGTTTGCTGAAGACGACAATGCGCTATTTATGTGGTGCAAGACTTCTTTTTTTAGAAATAATATGGCTGATGGACTCATGTCTGATCTCCTCTTTCGTTCACTTCTTTACATTCTATCATTGTTTTCATCATGATCATCATCCAGTTGTTGTTTGGCCACAATTCTAGATATTCTGCTACTTATACAATGGACGGCCTTGTCAAATTTAGCGGGCTGAAACCACGAATGCTTCAAAATCGGCACAACTGTGTAACCACGCAGCAATTTCATAATGCAACCATTTTCATATTTGCTAGTCCTGATGTCATCTATTACATGAGATCAAGAAATTACTCATCATGGTTCCCTGACCTGCAGTTCTATAACAAAATATAGCGAAGCACTTTCACGACTCTCCTAACGGGTGGCAAGCATTCGGCGGGCACTCACTTTCAATCATGATTTTCTCATAATCAGGACTTCCTGAATTAATCGATATAGTGACAAACACGGATGTTTATTGCCATTGCAGCACAAAGCTCTTAACTGCGTTTTTGTATCGGCAATTCTTTAGGCTACCTGTGTCGCTGTGGCGGCTCTGATGCAATACTTTTTTACGGCCGCTTTTTGTTGGATGATGGTGGAGGGAATTTACCTTTACTTGTTTATTGTGAAAGTTTACAACATTAAAAACCGGATGGCTATCTATCATGCTTTTTCATGGGGTAAGTTTCAGTAGCAATACTCATATCTCTGTGTTCAGTGCCTGCAGTTGTATCTTGTCACAACTCCGAGTTACTTATTGTTTTTCTCTTGCAGTTTTTCCTGCAGTAATGGTCATTATTTCTTTGAGTATCGCTGCAGGAAAAGACGGAATCAAGAGCTTTGTCGACGATGAACAGTTAATGAGAAATCTTTATAGATATAAAAAAAACCCTGAAATTCCTTTGCCATTTTCTCTCCAATTATGGTTTTTTATAAGACATTTTCATTTTTTTAATAGCTGCTGGATGTCTTCTGCAAACAATCTTATTTGGATTTTTGTTGCGTTTGTGATAATAGTTGAAGTGGTAAGTAAAACCATATTTGATAAGGAGTGTTCTCTACTACAATCAATGGACTACAATTTATCATCCTTGTTTTTCTACTGAGCACTATTTACTATGGGCTGTCATTCTGCAAGTTTGTGTCCTAGTGTTTGCTTGTGTTCCTCTTTCTACCTATCTGTATCCCACCAATTCGTTCGTTGTCATTCATTGAGATGTTTTCATTTTAAGCTGAACATACTGATTCTTGTGCGAGTCATCAGAGAAATGACCAAAATGCAGCAAAAAAGGGGAACTATTCAACACGTACGGTGAGCAACGTTGTTAACTAAGAATAATGTATGTAGATAGGAATTAGAGAGATGGTAAGTTTTGAGCTCGGTAAAGAAATAAAGAAAGATGTTTTTCGTTCTGTCACTCCACGGTAAGCGAGGTCTATCAAAATCAAATTTCTATTAAAACATCTTTCTTTAAGCATAATGTAGTATGCGATTTTGAATTCACTTATTACACCAGGTAATGTCTACTCTCGAGCATAGTGGCTCACACGGCCGAGATTTTAAAGGGATTATGTAGTATTAAGTAAATTGCTACTTTCCTTGAGTCAACTTTCCATCTCAAGTAAGCTCTTAGCGTTTTCTCAGTTTTCTCTGACAGTTTGTCAATACCCAGTTATGCTCTTGGTTGGAGACAGCCAATTTGGAAATTAACAAAACAAATCACACAGCTAAGGCATAATGTGAAGAAACTACGTATCTAGCTAAACACAGCGACCGGTTAATAAAATTGATCTAGTTAAACAAGCTTTCTTATAGGCTCATTTCAAATTTCCTTCCTACTTTCAGACTTGGGATAAGGACATGTGTTATTTTGCTTCCTCTTCTGGGATTCACTTGGTTGTTTGGCCTTTTGTCACCAGTGCATAGAGCATTCACCTACATTTTTATTATCCTTAACTCTACTCAGGTTTGAAACCATTGTGTAGCTATGTTTGTTTATGTTACATTTTTAAATTTTTGCAATTCATATTTTCTTGAAGCTTGTAAAGTTGGCACAATTCAGACCAAGAAGATCTCGTGTATTGCTCATACTTGTTTCTCTGACATGATTAACGAATATCGTTATGTGTATTAAATGCTCATATGGTAGAGACAATCATCCATTTGTTATTATTTTTGTTTGTTTGTTTTTTCCTGTTTTGTTATGTTTTGTTGTTGTTGTTATTTTTTTATTGTTTGTTTTTTTCCTAATGTCTCCGTGGCATTTAGCCATCACCCACCCCTGGCAAGAGAGAGAAAGTGTTAGGGACAACGGCTAGGGTTGGGCTTGAGCAAAACTTTCGCTATTTACTGAAAATTGTGCTTGTTAGTTTCTCAACCTTTTGATTCCTTGCCGGTAATAATTAATGTTTTTAAAGTATATCCCGAAGAGCACGATCACATAAAAAATTTCAGCTTTTGATCGGTGCGTTATATTCCCAAATGATGACCTATAATTTAAGGTTCGTTTTTCTTTATTAGGGTTTCTTGATTTTTCTTCTTCATTGCGTTAGGAACAGTCAGGTGAGATTTTCCAAGAAATGATGCAATATTTCTCTAATCCACGTCATCAAGATAATTATCTAAACAAGATAATCTTAGTGTATAATGTACTAAGGTCGTGTATTTGACCGAAAAAAACTAAGGTAGCAAAAAAAAATGTATCTGCACTGCGTTGGGAACAGTCAAGTGAGATTTTCCAAGAAATGATGCAATATTTACCTATACATGAATCCATGAAATGAAAAACTAAGCTACCAAAAAAAATATCTCTTATGGTAGCTGAGTAAGTATATTACTACTGCCTTCTGTATACGAGTATGTCCATATCCCGCTTCGCGTTCGTCCGGATCCGATTTTGTTGATAACTCGTATGATTACAGACCGAATTTAACTGCTCTTGGTTTTGTTATCATCATTAATCTATCAACTTAATTATCATTATGAATAAAGGGGTAAGTTTCTAAAGAAATTGTGGTGCTGCGTCGGTGGGAGAGTGTAGCAAACTCGAAACGTCAGCTTTTTTACCCTTTACAGTGGCTAATTTGCGTTTTCAACTCAGTTTTTAAGACTAAATTAACTGCTAATTATCATTATGATGCGATGTATTAATGGTACCTCTCGTAAACTTCATTCTTGAACACTACATGCATGAACAGGGTTATCTGCCAAGGGAATTTATTATAATCAATTATTTGCTTGATTTTTCTATTTTTCTTCACCTGCAGAT